CACCCTGTGCAAAAAATCGGTAAGAAGCAGAACTAAGAGGATTCTGTTATTATATTAGTTGTTACCAGAAAGGAATATAAAAAAAAATCGTTTTCGAGACAGGCCCAAAACTATTTTTAAGGCTGTATTTTAACATAGTTGCGACAACTCCTCCAATTGATATGAACTAGATCATGGTGTTTCATAGGCACGCCACTAACGTCTATTCTAGTATTATTGACAAGGTTCCTAGAAAAAGCAATCCCGTGTCTACACAACATGCAGTCAGTCCGTGACAAACGATAGTCAGACCTAATATGTATGCAGTTTACATTCTATTCCTAAACACTCAATCGCTGAGCTTGTCTAGATTGTACTTTCGGAATATTTTGTTTCAATTTTATAAAAGAACGTGAGAAAAAATCAACTGACATCGAACAGCACTACTTCGACATGCCCAGATACGTTAAGGTGACCATTGGCTATTTGAGGGAAAATTTTATTCTTTTGATTATCTTAAAAAAGTGTATTCGGGGTTTTTGGAGTTCAAATATATCGAATACCAACTTTGTGTAGCTCTGTCACAAATGTATGTATTTCAATAAATACGATGACTATACTCTGACTAGCATGCCAAATACTTTTTTTAACGTAGTGGCCGTGGCATTTTTTTTCTTGGCATAAAATGTAGACAGTAAACCATATTTAAAAAAATTATACTATCAATTCTAACTGAAAAAATAAGGCGGAAGTTTAAAAAAATTTCAAACACTTTATTTTCTATCTCTGGTTTTAATATATTCAGGTAGGCCAGGTTTGTGCCATTGCGTGTAGTTTATAAAGTTCTAAATTTCTTTTAAAAAAATCGTACAAATCGGTAAATTCATTTCAAAGTTATCGCCGTTTTTGTGATTTTCGAAAAAACCGGAAGAGGAAGGCGAAAATTTTGACTAACATTTCCCCGAAAATTTGTATTCAGAATTTTTGAGGATTCAAAAAACAACGAATATCAACTTTTTTTCTTGCTAAAAAATATTTTAGCCTACTTTATTTGGAAAATGTATTTGGCAATGCATTTGGTATCGAAGCTATTGAAATAAATATATAATTTATGCCCGATCAAAGAAACAAAGTAGGTTAACAAAAAAGATTTTTTTTACCAAAAACAATATATGCACCCTGAAAACCCCTTGAATACAAATGATTGGAACAAATATGTCCGAATTTTTTTCGAAAACCGCAAAAATGATGATAAATTTCATACTACTCCATCGATCCACGAGAAATTTGACGGGGGGGGGGCGTTTTAAAACCACACGTAATAGCATAAACTCGTCTTCCGTAAAATAATTAGAACCGAAGATTTTTCTCTCTTATAATGACATCAAATCTACACGTTCTTGACATAGCTGAAAGAAGAGAAATTATTTAATTATTTCAATTAATTATACTTTTTATCTAAAGTCTTGGTTGAGATGAAAAAGTTAGTGTCACGAGAGACTTCAAGTCAATATAGCTCAAGTGATTAGAGCAGCGGCGTATTGATGAACCGAATGTCGTGGGTTCGAATCCCACTCGTGACACTGCCATCTCAACCAGGACTTTAATTAATTGAAATAATTAAATAGGTCAATTATGGCCGCTAAGCATATATATGTTGTAATATGTTGAATTTGGATAAAATATAGAGGTGTTATGAATTTTTTAATGGAACACTGAACATCTAAGGAAGAAAAGTACCCGAGGCTAATCCAGCCCAAAAATGTTTATTTTTTGATCTTGATGAAAATTCATATTTCAGGGCTTTAAAAGATTCTTAAAACTAATCTGAATTGATTTTCTCAAAAAACAATTTTTGCTTACTCTACTGAAAACTTTTTTAGGCTTTTGTAGCTTGCTATATATATAATCTCATTTAGTAAATCTTACATAATATTTTCTTAACCTACATAAAACAATGAATTGAATGATATATGTATAATCACTTTGAGATATGTGCACAACAAAAGCAGAAAACCATCCTTTATTGGATCAAACAGGGTTGTTTTATTGTATATAGTTTTGATAGTTTGTGTACCTAGCATTTGTGGAGAGTAAATGTTTGGTGTGAATTTGTAGTGTTAGAGGGCTGATGGAGGAATATTGCATACTCCACTACCCTAACTGAGAGAATGTACATAGGAAAGAATCTACTTATGAATGAGTGAGATTGTGAATATATTTGGATTTAGGTACTGTATGCATAGGGTGATGAAATGAGCCAGCTGTTGACAGCACCTAACCTCGGCGGCTGGACGGACAAGACCGAGGTCTAACCCCAGATTGTAAACACTTGAGGTGGATGATTCTCGAGTCCTACCAGTAATTTATTGCAAATTACAAAAGTTAGAATGGCCAATGGACTGGAAGAAGGTAGGCTCAACTCTGTACATGTAGGTATGTTTCATCCATGTGCAGATGTGAGCTTATGTGTGCTATCCGTGCTTTCATTATCCATACTTTCACTCATCTGTGGTTGCATCTCCTAGTTAAGTTCTAGAGGATATCAACCACACAAGAGGATGAAGATGATAAAGTAGGAGAAAAACAGAAATGGACAAGAAAAATATGTGGGGAAATCTTTTCGTTAGCTCAAAAGTTGAAAGACAAAATTATAGAATATGATCTAATAGTCGAACAAAGCATAAACATAACACAACTGCTAACTCAAGCTATGGACCCTCTCCTACAAAATTTCCAACAGTTGAAAAACCAGGCAAAGCAGCCTCCTTTAACGATGAGAAAGCTGAAAGAGCAAACTCTGCTGATTCATCACCATCTACTCCTAACTGTGAAATTTAACAAGTTTTATAAATACCTAAATATTATACTTACTAATAAGTTATATAAATTATAACTTAAAAAACATGTGATGGGATAATATTTCAATAAATAAACAATAAAGATTCATTTTCCCTTTCTAAAAATACTTCAAATATTTGTCTAATGAAATCATGGTAAACGATAATCCGATCTTATGATTAAGACAGAAAAGGAGAAAAAACTACTTCTATATTGTAGTATCCCCCTCCAAATATGAGAATCAATTAGAATTCTGTGAGCCTTTTATAGATAAATGCACATCATCATCAAAATTGAAAATAAGTCATACACGTTGCAATTTTAGTAGATGACATACTAAATTAAATTGTTCTTTTGTAAATAAGTCAATAAACAAAAAAATTCACTTCTAAATTCTATTTTAATTGTCAACTAAAATTTTTTATCCTTTTTACTTAATATAAATATTATATAAACTGAAGTGGCATACTGTGAAAATCGTTGCGTATGAAATAATAGCACAAAGCTTATTCATAGTTGTCCAAGTACACATAAAAATAAAATAAATTCTGAAAATATCAGTTTGGACAAAACAAATATTTTCTTTAATCCTACAAATTTGGTCTTTGGATTTTCATCTGGTGGTCCACCTCACTGGCACTGCTCTCGGAGGACACACGTCTTGAGAAATCAGCCAAGGCTGGTACTCTCACTGCTGAGGCAAAAATGTCTATGGACCAATGTTGTTTAAGGCGGTGTGAAGGATTATGCCAACAGGAGATATCAGAATGGGCTTGAACAGAAAGGTTGTAGTGGAATTTCAAGAAGCAGGAATATATCAAATCTTGAAGGAAGGGAATGTTGTGGATGGTAAGGTGGTAAAGAGCTTGGATAATTTGTCTGAAAACTTGTGACTGAAATGCTTGAATGGGTTAGATATTGGATGGCGCGTGATACTCCACAGTTCTGTTCCATCCAAATAGGATGGAATTGGTATGTTTACGCCGAAGCATAATTTATTCTATTTTTTTATTAAAAATTAGTCAATTAAAAAGTCTTATTAAAATTCAATTCAGTTCTCTTTATTTTAAGCCTCCGACCTCTGATATTGGCCTGTCGAATGATGAAAGGCTTAGTTGGCAGACGGTGTGAGGCTTGTCTCTTTTCTGTCAGTTGTTCAGTGCAAACACGCTTTTCTCTCTGGCCGGGCACCTTGTTGTTCTCAATATCATAAAATTAGTTAACGTCTTTCCCCTTTCAACGAAGTATTTCTCCTCCTTATTGCAACACGAGAAAATTATCTTCCAAAAAGTGCTGTTTATGTTTCACAGACAAGTTGTTAACTGTATTTCCTCATCATTCCCAGAGGAAAACTAAGGCCTTCTACTGCTCCACCATGGGGGTGCAGTGCCGTGGGTGGATGGGTTCCCCCATTCCGGCAGTTCGCGGGGCGTTGGCTGCGGCATGGCTACACATGGTTTATGGCTATAAAGCCAATACCAAAAAAAAAAAAAAAAAAAAACTAAGGCCTTGGAGCGGACCGACGGGCATTCCTGCAGGAGCGAATTGTAAGAGGAGTGAAACATTGCTACTTTCGACAAGAGATTTTCTCATGTTTTCCCTTATGTTATGCATTCTTTTATTAATTTTTTTAAAATTATTTTAATTACAATAAGCCTATGGCTTAATCATTGGTCTATTTTGTAAAGTGTTTATTCATTACAGTCATGTCCGATTTGGTCCTAGCAGTCTTCTTAGTTGTTCGAATCTTCTTTTCAGGTTTTTTTTTTTTTCTTTTCTTGAGGACAGTATGTGGATTTCATCAGTCTGCCTTCATCAGTAGGCCTATTGTGGAAAAGACAATTTATTTCCAACTCATCATCTTAAAATCCAGCTTGTTTGTCAGTCATACGTGATGATCAGTCATGTGCTGCATTATGGAATTTTCAAACACTGGAAGATACAATGAATTGTTTTAAGGAAAATGAATTTCCTACAAACTCTTCTTTATTCTAGTGCTTGTGGGTGATTTAAGTCTGCTGATAAACGGTATCGTTCTAATCTAATTTATTTTATTAAAAGTCAGTAAGTCTTTTTCCATTTTATTCTATTGTATGCAAAATTTTCAGTTTCCATCCTTAAAAGAGGAAAACTTTGCCTTAGAAATGAGAGAAATTTTAAAAATGCCATTGTTGTTTTAGGTCAGTGAGGAAGCTGAAAGTGATATTGGAGTAGAGACAGATATTTTACAGTACACAAGTTCCTCAAAACTACCATATGAAAATAATAACAATTGTCCAAAAATCACAGGATCAAAGCCACGTAGTAAGTCTAAAGAAATCAATAAAGGTGTGTGATGATTTAATTTATTAAGTAATCAATTTGTATGGTTTTAATTATTAATTTTTTTAAAGCTGGAGATTACCTTATTGAAATAAATGGAAACGTTTTAAGCGTGTTCGGCCATGGGGCATTGAAATTTATTGACCGTCCTTGGAATCCATTAAAAGCAAGAGATGTTACAACTGTTAAATTCAGTTCTTTAGATTTTAATTTTATTTCAGCTGTTTTGAACAGAGTCAAACACAGATTTCTGAATGCAGAGCATTTCCATTTCTCAGACACAAACATTTACTGCCTGGGTCAATTAAATGCGCTGGCAGATATTCAAGGACTCACGTCTTTAACAATAGAACCAAAAGGGAATCCTGTAACAAAAAAAAATTGGAGAAGCTATGCCATATACAGGCTTTCCCATTGGGGTCTCAAGACAATCAACAACCAACAGGTGAACAAAGACATTTTATAAAACATTTAATCAATAATTGATGAACTAATATCTTTAAAGATCACACCGGTAGAACTAACTTCAAGTGATCTCGAATTTAGAGGACTCAGTAATATCGTCATATCTTGCCTTCCTGACAATCTTCTTGAACCACTTTTGGAACGTCTACAATTAAATCAGACCATAACAAGACCTAGAGAATGGTTGGATTTAGCCGAACCTTCAATTCGAACCGTTGTCGCCAAAGAAGCCCTGCAGTGGAGAAAGACAAAACAAGTATGTCCCAAATACTGACTACTAAAGCACTTGTTTGTTCCTAATAAGTTGACGAATTGTCAGATTTACAACCTGGAATAATAAAAGTACAAAAGTCCTTATAAATTTTTGCCTTACATTAGCAATTATTCCAACTTATTTACTGTAACAACACTAATGAGTAATTTGTTTTAAATTTTCCTTATAAAAATATATCATATTTAAAAGAAGCACACACAGGTCTCACTTAATACAATTCTTGTTACAAATTATAATATAAAACAAATCTGTGTGCCACTGTTATATGTTAGGGGAAAAAAGACATTTAACTCGACCTAATTTTCTTTTTGCATTAATCTTTACAGGAATACTCATCTTGGAGGGAGAAAGGACGAATTCATCTGCAAAAAATAATCTCTTCAACTTTAACGACTGTATTAAAACTGAAGCAGCTTAATGTTGAATGGTCATCGATTCTCAGGGAAATAGTGCGTGACACGCTTGTTGACTACTCACACTTTGATTCTTATATGAAACAATGCATTTCTCAGATAAAAGCATAAAACAAAAAGTCCTATTTCACATCTGTTCAAAAAGAAAAAAAAGCTTGTTATAACAACAATTGAATGTATAAACCATATAACAACCATACAGTTACATTACATTACAACAGCTGTACAGTTGAAAAGTGTGTATGTAAATTAACTTACTAAATATGTACATTTGAAAATTTATACACTAGTGTAAAATTAGAAATAATCTATCTATAGAAGAAGAAAGGTAAAATGTTTAGCTAAATTTTTCATTGCCCAACAAGTCAGGTTGAACATTTTATGATTAATTATGTTTAAGTCCACATCACAATAGTAAAATTAAAATATAAGGTGCGGTGCCCACTGAAGGATACATGATACGACAAGTGATGCATAAGCAATTCGACACCTTATCACTACTTATAATTCTTGCCTAAGTAACTAAACCAGTACACACCAGTGCGATTGCGATGCAACGCTGATAATTATCGGTGTCGTATCCGCTGGGGCGACACAGCTTGTCAATCACTTCAGGCCATAGAATGGTGCAACTCGTCAGTGAATCATGTCAACACAACAGGAGAACATCTCTGATGCTATTTCTTTTGACAAAATAGTTGAACAGAACCCATGATTATGGAACTATTTTTGAAAAGTTATTCAAGAACTAATTTAACAAGCGTAGCATGGAAGAAAATAGCAGAAACGCTGAAGCTGAAAAATTATTAATATCACGTTGGTGTACCTCCAATATTTTCTCTCTTTTTATTTCCATTGACTTCAATATCTGTAAGTAATAATGACATCCTCCTCTAAAGAGCTCATGATTACAATTGCGTATAAAGGTACTACTATCATTCATCAGATCAACATAATAACAATGGACGAGAGTCCGTCTGTTTACATTTACATACACAAATATATAATGTTAATAGTACTTTAAAGCAATAATGGAATAAGAGTAAAAATCATCGCTATTGTCTCCATTTAAAATGGCTAAACAGTGGTCATGTGACAAAGATCTCTGGATGTAATAAATTAAACAAAATTCTGCCAGGATAGTACATTCGCTTACAAAATGCAGTTTCATTGACACTGTAGTTGCAGTAATTTTAATTTTGTCTCCAAGGTTAATAATGGAAGTTTTATCAATTCTGTTCTTAATTTAAAATAAGCTAGCCTTATTTATACCAAAATGATGATATCTAGATCATGAAGTAAGTGTAGTGCTGGTGGAATCTTGCTGAGGATACACTAGGCCAATAATCTGTCCCATTCCCTCAACCTAAATTTCTCCAAAAATGCTACAGAGATGCCACTAATACATTCGGCATTGAACCTATTTAAATCCATGGGGTCCCACCTTAACCCAACCAGTCTTCAACCTCACACTTTTATGAGTAATTAAATTTGCCAGCTTGCTATGATCATTGAATGTTTTGGCAATAAAGGTGGAATGTAATTTAAAATGTAACGTAAAAAGAAATAAACTTGAAGTATTAGTTTCTAAATAAATTGCATAATTGAGCGTATTGTTGATATGAGATAATTTCTTTTAACAACGAACCGTTGAAATTTTTCTAAATCTATATATTCTCTATACCCCCAAATTTGCACTGCGTAGGAAGCCATTGATCGTGCAACCATCTTCCACAGAACACAAATTTTTTTGAAAATTCTTTTCCCAAAGTTCTAATAAAGCCTTGTTGGGCTAGTTTTATTTTTTACATCAAATGTATTGTTAAATTTAACTGTGATGTCAATGAGACTCCCAAATATTTATGTTTCAACTATTTCTAAAATTTCATTTTTAAATTTCCATCTTTCGTTTAGTCATAATATATCTTTATTGTTTAGCAGTATTACCTTTAAGTTTCCAGCAGTCCCAATAAATTTCTAAATCTTCTATCTTGTTTTGTAACACTAAAGTAGTGTCTGCCATAACACCCCACCGTCAGCATACCAGTTTAATGTAAGAAGGTATGTATTGTATCTCTTGGCACTTTGCTCCAGTGGGCACAAGGTTGTGCCGACAAAAGTCATATCAGGCAATGAAAGATGGTTTCATGGTACATATCCTACCGTGTTTAAGAATAACGCTTATTTTATGCTGATTTATATAAGCTCAACTCTGTACATACACCTTTAGCCTATTACTTCTCGTAGTCCACCGGCAATTCCTGCTTTTGTAATTTACAATAAATTACCGGCAGGCCTCAAGAATCGCCCGGTATTGGCAATCAAGCCAGATCTTGGTCTTATTCGTCCAGCCACCGGGTGCTAGCTATCAACAGCTAGGTCATTTCTGCATCCAATGCAAACAATCTCAATCCAACCCCATTCACTCTCTTAAATACATTCTTTCTTCATTCACTCATTTATAATAGTGGACTCCTTGATTTTTCTCCTTCACCCTTTTCACCCATTTTCACACCACCCAGAACAAGAGCACAAGGATAACATTGACAGAGAACCAGTCACAGACAGCAGTTACCCAGTAACTGAGGGAGTAAGTGCAGACAAGGTAGTAAATTTGAGCATCACAACTGGATGAGGTTAATTTAATACAAAAATTGCAAAACAATTATATTTATTAAACCATAACAAGAATATCACAGATATTTAAACACATTTTATTATATCATTTATGATATATAAACTAATTCTAGACAAAATAATAATTATAGATTTATTCCAGTCTTTCAAATTTTAGTTCATTTACCTCTTTTATTTGAAACATGCTAGGTACTGTTTTTTCTTTAGAAACATAATCAACATGCTCAGTACATAAATTGTATGTATAAAAAATGGCACATTGTTATATTAAACAATTTTTATTTTTGAAACCTGTGGTACTTTACTCGGATCAATTTATTGCATCATATGGGATGCGAGTCAAATTTTTTTTTCTCCATCAACCCGTACTGCTTTTTTCTTTAATTGACTAGTAATTTTATAAAATGACCAAAACAACATTAAAAATGTAAACAAATATTATACATATTAACAAAAATACATATGTCATCCATGTGTAGTAGCTCACTGAAGAATAAGTACGTTATGCTATAGAGGTGGTAAAAGAATACAAATATTTAAGAGTAATATTTACCCCTCAACTTTCTTGGTAGAAACATTTATCAAGGAAGATGTCAGCAGTGGAACTAGCTATTAACAGAATCTGGTCCACTATTATTGCGCAAGAATATGTCGCTATTAAAGCAAAATCTTCTCTTTCATAACAAAAGCGATGCTTTCCTCGGGCGCTAGGTTTTCAAGTATCACAGCACTGGAAATAATTAAGTCTAATTCCCATTGGTTTGCTCATTGGAAATTTTTATTTAATAAATACAATCTAGACTTCCCATTGACCCTTGAGAACATCAGTAGTTGGCAGGTTCATTTTTCGACTCCTCTCCAAGATCCCAGCATCGGGAACATTGTTTATTACGGGTTCAAACATCTACACACCTGTCTCTCTACAAGGAATTAGAAGTTTCACCCATGTTTGATTTCCTAATTTTGACGGTCTTTCCTTGTGTGAACTAAGATGGGCATTTAAGCTGAGATGTGAGGTTTTACATGTAAATTCAGCTGTGTGGAATAGGGGTAACTTGGGTATATGCTCCNCGAATGCTTAGTTGGGTACAGAGTTTTTGATAAATCGGCATTAAAAGTGAAGGAAGGGCAAGTGCCAATCGGTACGATGAGTAGACAACATGCAGGCGGTCCTGCATTAACGTTCCTTTCCTTCTGCCCATTTTTTGATGTCTACTCTCCATCATTTCTCCTTGACTGAGAACCGCGTTACACGTGTGCTAGCTCACTTCACGAGTTATTTCTTGTATTCATTCATTATCTGTGGAACTGAGAGTCAATAGACTCTGCCAACTTCGTGGAACATCTCTTCATTCCAGTATACAGCTCCATCTTTCCATCCACATCCATCATCTTAGGCACTAATGCCCCCGGTCAGATTTGTTTTTTTGTTTGTTTTTTATTTTATACATCTACTAGTCAGATTAATATCTTCTTTTAGTTTGACATCAATTTTAATACCATAACAGACCTATTTTCTATATGTGGGCACAGAGATGTTTCATGAGAATTTTTCGTATTTGTTCTTCACATATATGTTTATATATTTTAATTGCAATTTGTATTAACATTATACCTCATTTTATAAATTTAATCCTGCTCTCGTTATTAGCAAATTCTTATATGGTTTATATTAATACACTTCAGTAATTGGTTTGTCTGAAGACATCATACTGCCTTCCATCAGTGTGAGGGGGTTATTCCTGGAATACATTAGAGTTGGAGATATCCTAAATTTTGGAGAGCCGTAATTCACACAACTTGTTACATGTTTTTTGAAATAAGTGATGATAAAAAATTAAGATAATGGGATGACTTTAAATACAATTTCCAAATACAAGCAAACAGAACAGAAGAGCCCCTGAATTCTGAATCTTGCACCAACAGATAAAACTTCATTGATACAGCGTCTAAACTTAAAGACAAAATTGGCAACAACACCCCGACTAGCTGCATATAATAATATATATCATACATAATACATGTCAGTTCTGACATTTAAAATAATTAGTTAGTACACTATTGTAATTTACAACCAGTCTGTATTAAAGATATATCTATCGATACAATACACTTCAAAATTTATATTTAATATCCAATTGCTTTACCATGCTCAGAACAGGATTGGACTTTGCTCTTGTGGCTCCAATCAGTGTGTTGTATTTGTACAATTGGTCCATTGCCAGCTTCACATCGATTGCGTCGCAACATTTTACAACTGCAATGCATCCTTTGACGTAACCTACTTTATCTGAAAATTTATTTGAAATGTTAGCCAAAATAACACAATAATAAGTTAAATTTACACATGATAAACACTTAATTGTTAATGATGGATCCTTAATTAAGATGTGATGAATATTTTTAATTATTATTAATGGTTGTTTTAGGAATGCAGTCAGAACTTTTTTTGTTTTTATTTGTGAACGTTTCAGAAGTTTTACTTCCTTTTTTCAATGCGGAACTTGGACGCCTACAAACAATAATTGGTTACATTTTTTCAACAATTATTTTTACCATACTCAATATCTTATAGAATTATAAGCATTTCACTCAAATTAAATATATATGAGTGAAGTGAAAAGTAAACTTTATTCCGGGACTTTACGTCCCCTTTAATAATTAAATATGAATACAATATATTTACAGATCACAGCCTGATAAGGATATATGTATATTTACAAAAGTATATACAAACGATGTGATGAAAATTTTATTCTATTGTGGGGCTTCCCAAACTGTGGTATGAGGCGAACTTTCAAAAAATTTATAATTACAAAAATAAAAAAATAACATTGAGCACTGAAAACAAGGTTTTTTTATTTACTCATTCTATATAATTTTTGCATACATAAGCAAAATAGGAAGGTAAGTGAAACGTTCAGGACTAGAGTGGTCAGTTTAATGGTTTCCTAGGTAAAAAACATTAAACATAGGGATCTGTTAATCCCCAAGTTGTTTATCTTCTAATAGTTTGGTGATGCATGCATTCTCGGAATCGGAATAAATGGAAATTTACTTCTGTCTAAGTCCTCGTATGGTTGATTTCCGGGATTTTTTACACAAATCTGCTACCTATCTTAAAAACTCATACTTTAAGCGTAAAATTGCGTCTTGAAATTTGCATTTTCAAGTGGTATAATTCTTCCTGAAGCAAATACGGCATCGCATTATAAAAGCCTTAGCTTCGGGTTCTGTTTCCAGAAACTCGGGAGATAGTCTGCCACACTGTGCGCAACAAAAGCCTCACCAGATTCCTGGTTGACTAGTTTTTGGTCTTCTTTTTCACTCATTTTGAATTATTAAAAATTTGTGCAGATGTTGCATAAACTTTTAGAAATAATCAACAAAAATATACAAGCGTAATTATGTACTGAAAAACAAAAAAATGGAATTACGAAAAAGGAAAGAAATATTTTTATAGGAAAATTATAAAAAAAGTTATTAAAGAAAGAATTACGTTTTATTCAATTTTTTCCGAATTGTTTAAAAATTGATGTAAAACATAAATCTATGTTGCTATTCGCAAGGGTTAACACATGGCCAAATGTGCAATAATTCTAGCCCTAAATAACAGTGATTATAATTACAACAACGAAAGACAAAATTACTCACTTATGAAATTAAATATACTCCTATACAATAAAGGATATGTTTATACAAAATGAATCAATACAACAATTAAGCAGACATTGCGTTGGGGTCATCAACTTTGGACTATACTTTTAAAAGAGCAACTTATTTTTTACACTGAGTCTTTTTCACCCTCACCCCACGTGAACAGCGCCTTGCATCGGCACTCCACTGGACCGCTATAAAGTCAAAACTTTTCACTATACTATGTGATGATATGAGAAGCCTTCATCATTCTTCTGCACTCAGAAGTGAGGGAGTTTTCTCATGGTAACGCACTTTCATGATTACAGGAATTACGCTCTGAAGACTTATTTCTGTTGATGGACCAAAATGTCAAATTGGCCAACGTTTTCAATGATGAAAAAGGTATTGTATACTGGCCTATTTATCAGATATTTTCATGAAAACAATTAGATTTGTTTTTCTTTGCAAGGGAAGAGTACCACAACTTTCAATGCTAATGACAAAGTTCGTGCCTTCAAAAAAAAAAAAAAAAAAAAAAAAAAAAAAAAAAAAAAAAAAAAAAAAAAAAAAAAAAAAAAAAAAAATTAGTTAATTTAAAAGTTTTTTTAAAGTTTTAGGCTGTATCTGTTGAGAAGAAAGAAGTAGAGTGTTTTCCTGTGGTAAATGATTTTTTAAAAGAAAACAACCTGGAGCTTGTGAATAGCACGTTAATTGATGAAATATGTGAACACCTTCGAAGTTTGGAGATGTCCTTTGTGCACTAATTCCCAACAGCTCGAGATACACTGCTGCAAGAATACGAATGTTTGATAGACATTACTTCAGACTCTATTTTCATGTCCAATACACCTATTTTTGGAAAACAAAAATTTCAACCGCTCGTTCAAAAATTGTGTTCTTCTTCCATTTATCACAACTTACCTATGCGAATCCAGAAATCCAGATTTTCTATCTACAGTCAACAAAAGTATATAACAAAGCCATCTCTAGATGCTGAACCCGACATCTGCCTCCAGCTGTCATAAAATAAACCCAAAATATCCAAATTGTGCAGGCTAAAACAACAAGTGAGTTTGAATCATATCTCTAAGTCATGAATCCTTTTATTTAAAAAATATTCAAAAATACTGACAAATCTTACATAACAACTACCCTAAAAGCACAATCAACAGAATCATAAACAATCATAACCCAGCACTTCACAAAACAATATCCTCCATAGTACATAACACATTACCAACCTAATCACAAAGACAAACCTACATACACATTCATTCACACAAAGTAAATTTCTCTCCTCAGAACCCTTTAAAATAGCTTTTAAAAATCACAAAACAGTACGCACACTTTTTTCCAAAGTCAAAGCCAACACCAACAGCCTACCAATCCGATGTAATTTATAAAATTAATTGTATGAAATGTCCAGCTACATACATTGGAATCACATCGCAATATCTGGAAAAAAGGAAAAACACATCTATGACTGTAAAACACAAAAACCAATCCCACAGCACAGCATTGGCCACTTTGAAAAACAACACAACTTTGATTTCGACAAAATACAAATACTAAACACAGAAAACCAAAAACAAATACAAACGCAACTTTCTAGAAATGGTTTATATTAACAGAGACACACACAGCATTAATTACAGATACATGCAAACTCAAAATTAGTTATGCCAACATCATAAAGCAAATAAACTATTAGATTTTATTGTTATATTTCCCTATCCTTCATTATTGTCCTTGCTAATTAACTTCATTCTCAATATCGAATAACCCCGAGTCACAAATCCAACATTTCACAACAATTTCACACAAAACCAATATGCACAAGAATAGCACCTCATTTTATGTGAGTATAAAATACTTCATTCAAAATTTATATTTGCATCTGTATTGTATTTTTTCCAATCAACATGTTTTGTAATTCACCCAGGCCCTGAAGATGACCCGAATAAACGTCGAAACGCCGGCACAAAAAAATAAAAAAGGTATTTTTCTCAACTACCTCATTCTTGACCGCTACTCACGACTTCAACAAAGTAATTATGATATAAATCTATGTTTTTAGTTGGTTCTAGTTAACCAAAGTGATTATTTAAATTGATTTATAATTTTTATGTAAAATGTGGTTGAGAAGAATTTTTTTACATATAACCAATTATTGTTTATTGGCGTTCAAGTTCTACTTTGAAAAAGGAAGTAAAAGTTCTAATAACTGCAACTTCTATAACATCCAATAAATATATGTATTGAGTAAAAACTGGAAGTTCTGACTGGATTACCAAAACAACCACCAACAGAGGGTTCATATTTGAGAAAATTGGCCAAAATGGTAATGGAAGGGATAAACAGTTAATCTAATGTGGTAGCTATTGGAAAAATTTGTTTTTGCCAAAATTTCAAAGTTGTAGAATGAAAGGACGTTATAGAGTTTACATGGAGCATGATTTTCTTGCTTTATTTTTTAATGTTTAAACTATTATTTTTAATATAATTGTTTGATTGTTACCTATCATTGTCTGCATATTGTCGCTGGTTTTTGTTGGTTCAGATGTGTTTCGTTAATTCACCATCTTCAGTGCTTGTATGAATTCTGTGGTGATATTTTAGTAACAAGGTCGTGGGTGGTGTGGGGAGACTGTGTATGTTTCGTGTTGTTTGTCAGTGTATTTGATGGATTAAGTCTGGGTATTTTTTATTGTTCTAATGGTCCTTTTTGAACTTTGGTCCTTTTCCTTTTTAATTGTGTAATGATTCAAATGGTGTGAATGATATTTGCAAGTGACTGTTAATTTGTGTGTCGCTGGTTGGTCACAATAAAAATAAAATACTAACTTGCCAACGGTTTTCTGATTTTCTCAACAACCAAGGTGGAGGGCAATATAATAGCTAAAACCTGTAATAACTCTGGCGAAGGGTAAACCAGAATTTCAATTAACAGAACATAATTAATTACCTTCGGGGTTCATATGAACCCTGAATGATGGTTCGCATTAAGGATGCGGGCATATAATGCAATGGCATATAACTGTCAAAATGTAAAACTACTTATTAAAAATACGAGCAAAACTGAAGCAAAATAGCTATTGGAGGCTATCTAATTAGTGGATTGTATGGGAGCGATATGGAAGCGAACAGGACTAGACAGCAACAGGAAGGATTGTGGGGTGGGAGCAGAGCTAGGATAAATTCCAGATTAGCAACATTTCATAAACAAAATAAACAATTATAATTCGCGATATTTGGCACAAACACGTGTATTTATGAGGTTTTTAATGTTGAATGTGGTATGTTTATATATTGGGTTGGTGCAAATTTAATGCAGGTTTTGAAAATTTGTTTTGTTTAATAACCTAAATCCTCAAATCTAATTTATGGATTGTAATAAATATTTTTAACTATTCTCTTTTATACAAAATGTTTAGTTTATGTTGAATTTTATAAGAATGACGACATGCAAAATTAATTAAGTCTGAACTAGATTTTCATCAAATTTATTTCTAGAATTTAAATTTAGGCAAAGTGACGTCCAAAAGGCGACTAAGATCAATAGGTTTTTTTTTTTTTTTTTTTTTTTTTGGGGGGGGAGGAAGCATTGGGGATGTGAACCCTGGATGAATAGTGCCATTTATGGTGACTGTTTGGTTCTGCTGTTGTTTTTACTATAATTTCCTGAAACTATCATAGCGGAGAAATATTGCCAAGAAATTGACAAAATGCATGATAAATTACAACAGTAGCTACATACATTCTGATAAGTCAAATGCATCCTCCTAGTGCTTTTCATGCTTAATAAACAGCACGTAACACTTTGATGTGCACTAAAAAACCGACAGTCGTTCAACCTCAAAACATCCTCGCACCAAAACTTTCACAGTCCTGGCTAGGTTTCCAAAATGCGAGACAAGTTTCACAAAACAGTTGCACGAGTGAATTTCGCGCAGTGGAAACCCTGCTTAAGGACTTAGGATATGAAACCATACCGCACCCTCCATATTCACCAGACCTCTCGCCTACAGTCGTCCACTTTTTTAGACATTTTGATCATTTCCAGAGGGATAATTTTTTTAGAGAAAGTGGTGAAGCTGAAAACACCTTACAAGACTTTATTGTGAATCAAAATAAAGATTTTTATATCAGCAGAATAAAATGCTTCGCAAAAATGTAGAGACTGTTATGGAAAATATTTCGAATAAATTTTCTTTATTTTATAAACATTAAAACTAGTTTTGACTACCTTTTCAAAACCAGTAAAAAAATGTATTCTTTTCCTTCTTTTTCATACTTGTCTTCTTTTAGTCGGAATAATTTTGGTCTGTCTGTCATGTATTTCAGTACTGCAATTTTGTGTCTGTGTGGGTTGGTGGTTTGAATAGGCTTGCATGATGTCAATTGACAACTGACAATTTTCTGTATTTGTCAAATTGTAGTTTGTCTTCAGTTTTTGTGATTGTTAAGTCTAGTAAGTTAATACTGTTGTTTGTTCCTACTTCTGTGCTGAATTTTATGTTTTTGTGTAATTAGTTCAGATCCATCAGTATGTTGTTAACATCTACTATGGCAAATATATCGTCTATGTATCTGTGTGTATATATATGTTAAGATCAAAAAGACCCCAATTTAATCTATTCAAGCACACCAACAAACAACACTAATACTTACACAGCCCCCACCATCCACCACCTAACTAAAACTTCACTCCACAGAGATCACCCAAACATTGAAGATGAAGTGTCGAAACGTGTCTGAACCAACAAAAATCAAAAAGTATAGGCACACCAGTACAATAGCTAACTATCAAACAAAAAGTTTATCACCCCATAGACCACAAGAGGAAATCTCTTAATTTTTTTTTTGTATTTCCCCATCATTAGGCACAATATAGGCCAATAAGTACTATTATACGAATAATATAAAATATTAAATAGATTTATAGGTTATAATATAAAGAAATTTACTAACAATAGTAGTCAAATAGAGCTCTGAGGAGATGTGCACTTGAATTTTCCATGTTGCATTGCAAGACACATTCCAAGAGCCTCTGATAATCAGCAATGTTGTGACGAGTAAGGAAAGTTTTCGATATCTGAGGAATCTGCATTTCGATATGTTCTTGTAAGCCTTTGTGAGTGAGGAGAAGTTGGACGGAGGTTTGTTGGTCTTCGTGCCAGTGGCTAGTAAAAAGTGAAAGCCAGAATGCCCCCAGCACAGAATAGTCGTCATTTTGTACTGAATACTGCAATGATGAATCATATATCACTTTGACTGATGCTCTGCTAATAATGGGTACGGATGTCTTGATAAGATTCCTGATCATCTTTGACACTTCCGGCCTCAAAGAGGGCAGCCTCTTAGTCACATTTGTAAACTCATCCATGGCCTTTTTGAAGTTGCCCTTTTGCCAGAACAGCTGGGCGGTGTAGTGGGCAAAATTTGAAGACCTTTTAAACTCTTTTAAACACTTAATCTGACAGATGCTTTTGACGGCCTCTAAGCCTTTGACATGTCCACCGATTGAAAAAAAATTGGCCAAAAGATGCAAGACTTCCACTTCGGGGTAACTCTGCGTTACTTTACACTCAATTAACTTATCGTAAACTTGGTCAGGTTTTGTCATTTTCAAGTAGTGCATTACATCAGATGAAGTTCCAAGAAGATGTAACTTCTTCTCTTTCAAAAGTTTATTATCCTTAAACATACAAAAGTAATCATTTTAAAGCAACACATTCGAGAATTTTTTTTATCTATTAAATATTTATAATAGTCATAAATAATAACATAATTTTTAATTTTTTTGATCAATAGTTTCCTTATCCTTATCACCCAGATCACCAATCAGCTTGCTTCATCATCTTGAGCATAAACAATACTGAATGGGGACCTCATCACATCTGGCATGAGAGTCTCTTATACAAACTAAAATATGTCCTTCTAAATACCTTGTCTTTCACTCCTACTGAATGGATCGACAAGGATCGAACTATGTAGCAAAAGGTCATAAGGCTCCAAAAACAAATAAATTTGATAGGGACTAAACATTTTCAGCATACAACAGTAACAAATCTAATCAGATACCTAGAAATATGGAATGACTTACTACATGAACGCAGAAACATCTTTTGCAATGTCCTATCAAGTTTTAACAGACTACAAAGGGGAAGAAAAATTTAGGAGAAAATCAAATATAATTACAGTGATACCTCTTGCCAAGGGACTGTCAGGGTATGATTACTTTTATCCTGTTTTGGGAGGCATCCTCTAAAGAGAGATGCTTATCCTCTAATAAAACTGTAATAGTATATATTATCTAACTCCATTGCAGCCATTTATACATTCTACCATTGGCCCTGATACAATACACATTCGCATTAATAAAAACATTCAATTCCAATGCACATTATGGAAAACAAAAATATCAGAACTATGTACAACATAGCTTTTGTATAATTTAGAATAAATGACTGAAAAAAAAGGGGTGCTGATATCAACGGCCCAGGTCAATTAAGCACCTAATGCATGCAGTTCCAAACCCATTCATATAAATATAAAAATAAGATAAAAATATCAGTACTATCTACAACAAACAACCCTGTTTCCCCAAGAATCGGTACAAGGGACCCAAAGACTCGATGCCGAACTCAATGGAGTCAAGGGATTGCAGCCTTGAATTAAGTGGGACACATTGAGCAACCTTTCTCTCCATGCCGGACAAATACACAGGCTTCGGCCCAAAAGTAAGTATCCGTGTGTCAACCTGATATGGCCTATTCTTAATTAGGTGAGGATGACCCTCTTCTACTAGTCAGGTCCTCCACGGGCTATCTATCAACAGTGCTGTTAATTCATAAGAGGTTCTCTGCTGATCCAGCCATTTTCTTTTTATCATGTTTTTATTAGGTTTTTAGTATTTTTTAGTAAATTTTTAGAGCCTGATTGTAGTGGTTAGGTCCAAATGTTGGGAAGTCCCATTGTTAGCCGCCTTGTCCGCTTGTTTGTTACCCACCAGACTTATGTGTGCGGGTACCCAGAAAAAAACCAAGAAGCTCCAGTTCATTGTAACTCCCCTTAATGTTTTTAGTTTAAATTAAAAGTACCACCGAGTAAATGAAACCTCTTGCAAAATGTTCAAAGTCATGCATTATACGACATACACAGCAGATAGAATTAGATTATGGAAAGAAATGTTATGGAATGGAAATCATTAAATGAAAACTATATCGGAAAGAAAATAAGATTGTACAATGTTAACAAATTCACAGAAACACTCCAATTCAATGAATAATAATTGTAAATTACAATTAGATGTTGTTTATACCCTCAGAGATCCTAACAAAAATGAAAAACTAATCTGGCTTGTCTCCCCCCTGGCTTTCTGTACTGTTGCAGACTGTAGAACAATTGACTGTAGGACGATGACAGTGTCCTTGTCCTTAATTTAGCGTCCTCTAGAGATTAAATACATAGAAAATGAATCTTCTATGCCAATTCATCTGTAACTGTCCTGTAAACGGGGGTGTCTCCCTAAACAAAGGAATCCCTTATCTGTTTCATTGTATACAGTATACAGATGGCTCCAAAACCAATGGAGTAATTGAGACAGGAAATACAGGAAAAGCCAGAACCTGAAGGATACACACGCCCTTTAACTTAGGAGTTGATAAATAGCATTAAGTTTCAAGTCTGCAATTATGACCCCACTTTTAGGTCACAGTTGAGTTATAGGGATATGGATGGAGACATAACCTAGAGCACCAAGACTTGGTAAAAATAAATAAGCAAATAACAGTCAATCTACTTCTTGAGAGAAGGATCAAGTCAATTGAAGTGAACTATCCTTAATACTTCCTACTAATAAAGTACATTAAACCAAACGGATGCAGTAGTTGTGGAATAGCAAACTTCCTAGTATCTTCTTATCATCATCACCATCATCATAGCTCGATATAACACCTGACAACGTAACAGACCTATTGAAAAGAATAAGATTATTACCTTTGTAGCCATACAAGTGATGAGCATATCTCGATGGACGACCGCCGTCGAATGATGCCATTGCGGGGCGAGAAACGAGGACCCGCAGACGAGGCAGCTCCTGTTCAGCAAGAATTTCATCATCATATCCATCCGCCCCATAGCAAAATAGCCCATTGGTGATATATTAACACTCGTCCTCAATTTTCTGGCAAAAATAAAACAATACAAAAACGCCTCATAAAAACAAAACAAATCCGATAGACAATAGGTCATCTGATTTCGCTGTTATAAAACACGTCATCGGCCGAGTACGTAATTTTTTTTAAAGATATTTAACTATGAATGAAATGTTAAATCAGTGTACATTTTTCTTGTGTTATATATACTTGAATAATAATAATTTACAAATAATAATAATAATATATAAATAATAATATAATTTCGAGTGATTTACAAGAGTTACTGGGTCCCCAGTGTTTCTTTCGAAGAGCACTTTTCAGCTTTCTCAAATTTATTGGAATTTATAATGAGATTTAAGCCTTTTCCCAAATTGTTATACCATTGAATGTTTGCCTGCTAAGTTTTTAATATTAAGCTGGGAAACAAGAATATTTCGGCTAATTGTTGAAAAAGTGTGTTGTGTAAGATTTGGGTCATCGATAGTGTCCCCAATCCTAAATATTAACGTCTTCAGCAATATTAACGTTCTAAGCTCATATAAGCTTAGAGCTTTAGTATAAATATTGTCAAATAAATGTCCTCAACATATATACATTTTTTCCCACATTCCTTATCCAAACGCACCAATCGTATCCCAAGCATTCACAACTCATCGAAAACTTCAGCCTAATCCTTCAGAATCGCAGCTGCCAATCTCTGAAATTTGCTTCCTCGGAAATATGTTCTGCTTACGCCCACTAACTCAAACCCTCCCCCCAGCGACAAGCGACATACCCAATGCTATATAAAGTATAAACCTTATTCAAAGTGAAAGACAGTTTCTCACTGAAGATGGCACAATGCTGAAACGTGTTTGAAACCGTGGAGTGAAGGCAGACCCAGTAGTGGCCCTATGTCGGTTCAACATGAATTCACCGACTCGCAGACCAAAACCAATCATCAACTTTTATCATTTTTCTGCATCTTTTGCATTCAACTCAATTTGAACGTTGTTTACAAATTTCTTCAGTCTTAAAATTGGGCTATTCATTAATAATGTATATGTTATATAGGCGGAATGAAAGGGAAGACAAATCAGAAGAGTATTGATGTAACCATGTATTGATGTAAGTAGAAGAGGACCTAAGGAGGCCCACGGAACACCAGAATTAATAAAGCCAATGTCAAATCGTTTGAAGTTGAAATTTACAACTTATATGCTACTCCTCAGGTTGTAAATAAATAAAGCTTAAATATTTATAGTGGTAGAGATGAAATTAAATTTAATATACATACAGTTATTCTTAATGATAAGCTCAGATGCAAAATGTTTTCAGCATGCGTTTGCTGTATAGTCGTTGTTTTGCTTTTTCCTGAAATAAAGCAAATCAATGAGAAAAGTTTTTTTGAAAACTGGTTTTTACATGGTTTTTTCTTTACTAAAATGTCTAAAAAATGAGTTTTGTAATACAAAGGTTATGTTTGAACAAATTACGAAGTAAAACTCGATTGTTTAGGAAATGTGGGTCGGATTTTTTATCCAGAAACTCCTTTTGGCAACTAAATTTGTACATAAATTTAGTTTTATCTATTTTAGTCAGAATTGACTGAAATTTGTATACTTTTTTGTTTGTTTTATGTGTGATTGAAAGACAATTCAAATGAAGAGGGATTGGGAAAAGGTTTGCCAAATAGGCGTGAGTCGGTTCGAGAAATTTCTTATTTTGAAAAATCACCGAACAACCGGATAATTTAAAAATTTATTCAATTGCATTTTATTTAGAGTTTTTTCTCCTTGTCTGTGGGAAATTTTGCGTCTTGACGAGGGATTGTGGTGGCACTGTTTTCAGATAACTCGGTCTCCCTGTAGGACGGTCCATTTCCTTCAAAGTTCCAAGTCCGGGCCTGTGTTCTGTATCGTCGTATTTCGTACTTTTTTTTGACTTTTCAAAAACTTCAATTCCGACGGGGCAATCTTCAGTTTTCATCTCCTACTTCAACCAAAAAGGGTGAGTTCTGTGTACATTCTGCATTGCCGACGGGTCACGTCCGGTTTTAACACTTACCGACTGCTGTTCCTTCTGTCTAGGCTCAGTTTTTGCCCCTTTTTTAATATCAGTTTTCCTTAACTTTTCCTTTTCTCTCTCTGTTTTTCCAGACGAAATGGAAGATTTCGGTGATCGTTTCGACGAGAGTGAGGTGGATCCGGCGGCGGAATTCTTGGCCAGGGAGCAAAATCAACTGGCAGGGCTTGAAGACGAACTTAGACCGGCCACCGTCATAAATGGTATTAACTACAGAAAAAATACACTGCCTGGCTTTTCAGGCAGCAATGATTGGATCCCTTGGTCCTGTTGTCTTGTGCAGCAAAACCTCTGTCGAGTCTATCAACAATTATAGAACTATGTGACTTCTGTTAGCTTATAAAATAAATAATTCTATCTAGTGGCCTGTATTTTCAGATAGATCTCGTTTGCATACACTTGTTGCCTTAGTCTGTCTGACATATTTTTTTTTAAATGGATTTAGTGAGGAAGGTTGATGTATACAATTCTTTCCTCCACTGTGACCTAAACTGGTCTAGCTTATAGCCGTATCTTGGAAAGTACGCTATTCTTTATAAAACTGAGCACTTTCCTTGGTGCCTCTTTGTAGATTGACTTGGGTATGAGAAATGTACTGCTGAAGTGGCTGTACCTTAAACGGACCAACGTTTTACATTCATAAAGGATATTTGCCTTTGTGGTTGAGATGTTACTGGTTCCTCCTGACAGAGCCGGCCTGTTTCCATCAGCCTTGCCCATCTTCTTAAGGTTAGTTAAGAGGGCATTGGCTGGTATAAGGGCCCTATAATTCTCAAATCTTGCCTGCTGGGAGAGAGTTCTTTCGCCTTCCGTTTTGAGATATTTATAAACTTACTTACATTTATTACTTTTATCTCTTAGCTTGCCACATACCTGGAGGGTTTGAGTTTTTCTTTCTCAATTCATTTTTCCAGTAACAACTTAAGCATACACTCCGAAGTACTTGTTTCTGGGCCCGTGGGTGAGAGGGTTGCCTCTTTTTTGGTTAGTTGGTTAGCCTGTTCATTTCCTTCTTACCTTCATGTCTGGGTACCCACTTTACGGTTTGCTTTCCCAGGGTCATTAGTTTTGGGATGGTTAATCCCTAACCAGTTTAGGCACTTCCAGACAAGTTTGGAGTTGAAAGGACACACATTTAGTGCTTTTATGGCTGCCTGGCTGTCTGAGAATATGTATATCTGTGCACCTTTCTTATATTTCTTTATAAACTCATTTGCATATAGCTGTATTGCATGGAATTCAGCTTAGATAATCATTGAGTTAGTCCAAGGAGATTTACTAGATGTAGTTTGGCCTTTTTACCCTTAGGCTTACTTTCTTTTCCATCTTTAATGCATCAGTGTACCATATTAGAGCCCCTTCTTGAAACTTGGGGCTACCTTTCTTCCAAATCTCCTTGTGGTCTGTGTCCTATTTAAGGGGCTGTCAAAGTTGAGCTTTCTCTCATTTTTTCAAACAGTGTTGTAGCCATCTCATTTATTTTAATTCTTTTATAATTCTGGTTTTATTTCCTTATATCTCAGGAGTCTGTTGATACTCTTTGTACATAAATATGTAAGGGTGGGAGGTCGAGTGCATTTCCATTGCCATAGAGGGGCAGGTAATATTGAGACACAGACATACGTTGGGTGGTCTGTGTACAAAAACAGTGAGGAAAAGTGAACCAAAATGATTAAAAAATGTTCCAACTATGGATAATTCTATTGGTTGACGAACTGTCCATTATATCTGATCTGTTGCCCCCCCCCCCATAGTGTTCTATTCAGTTCAATCCAATGAAAGTGTATTATAGAAATACACTGATGGACAAAATTAACGCATGATGATTATTCATAATTTGCATACCAAAAATAGATTCGACTGGAAAAATAAAACATTTTAAAAAAAATGTGTATTACCTAATTCTTTTTAAAAAGAGAGAGAGAGAGAGAGTAAAGAACAACAAATAAAAACTATAGAAACAACTTTTTTGTCCCTTTAATATCGAGTGTTTTCACCTCTGGCATGATCACGCCCATTAAACACCTTTGCATTAACTTGGAAAAGAGTTCTAGTAAAATCCTGAGGATTCTTTTATGCCATTTAACAAGAGCAGCCCAAGCCCTCCATTCCAACCTCATTCAGGTAGTCAACCTTTCGTGCTCTATGGGGCTTGGCATTATCAAGAACCTCTTGCCGATGTGGGGGCAAATGGCATTATATGTTCTTCGATTATGTCTTGTGAGTACCTCTGTTTCTCTGAAGCGTCGAAGAACCCTTTTGATTGTAGAGTGATTTATACTCAGTCTACTGGCGACTTCGCGCTGGCTATATCCTTCCTCTAATAATGTCATGTCCCTGACACTGCCTTACCCACTCAAATGCTGACTGGAGCCATTGAAAAAGGTTTAAGGATAAGAATCAAATGATATCGATGAAGGAAAAAGATTAACTGAATGCGATCTTTAGGCGTAGCAGAATGGAAGGGCTTTGTGCTACTTTTTGTGAAAATGGGATTGAGTTCAAAAGTAAACAAATGAAGTAAACAAAACATTATTTACTGTTTATTTTTACTACAATGCCTTCTAATTACCTGTAACTAATGTGGAACAGTAATGGATTTTATATTAAATAAATTGAATGATGCGTTAAATTTATCCATTGGTGTACTTGCTGTTTTAGTCTTGTCAGACATATTTTGGTAGTCTGTGTACAAAACCAATGAGGAAAGGTGGATGAAAATAATTGGAAAATGTCCTATGGGTCTATTCTGTTGCTCCCCATATTGAAATATGTGACCTAGCTGTTTAAAATATGACTTGAGATCAATCTTTTCACTTCTCATGATTAAAAGAAACCATTTTTGCCCCATTGACTGTAAAATAATCCATTTATTCTGTACGCTTTAGTTGCTATCAGTTGGCAGTTGATTATGGTGCCCCCTCCCCTGCTGCAAAATATTCAGTTCTGACTAAGTTTAGTTCAGTCTATTTGATTTATTGTAGAAATATGTGACTTATTGCAATTTACAAATTCTTTCCAATTCGCCCTAGTTGTTATCATTCCATGGAATTGTCAAATTTCTTCTCAAGGTTGTGTGATGGACCTGTAGTTTGGTTGTTTGTGATCATTCTGGTCTGACTATCGTTGCTGTAATTTAAAGGAATTTATTATGACTTGTAGTTTATAAAATAATTATTTCCTGCAAATCAAGTTCAAGTTTCTATATTACACTCAAATCAGGAATTTCTTATAAAAATGTAAATAAATAATAGGTGGTTTTATGATGATTCTTTTCTTCCTTCGTTCCTGTATGCTAAAGTTATTAATTACAATTCTATTTGCAGACCTGTATCATTTCTCATCTTTCACATTCAGCTCAAATTAATTGGTAGAAAAAGTATCAAAACTAGAAACATTTCCTTGTTTAGTGTGCATCTCCTTTACAGTCACATTTCTTCAATTTAAAAAAAAAGTGCAAATTTGAAAAGCCGGACGGGGTTGCTCACTAAAAACAACAGTTAAAAATAATTTGCCATTATTAGATTCTGTATGAATAAGTTTTAAATTTAAGGTCCAGATGGTGATTTAGGTCAAATAGTAAATGCTGATGGAATTAATTCTGTAGGTCAACCAGAACTCAATGGTCCAATGAATGGAGGAGGCGATTCAGGTAATTGTTTGATCTTGGTATACAAATTGGCTTATTTAATGTCGAATCTATTTATTTATTTTAGAGAGATCAGCATTGTATGCAGAAGACGATATTAGGACCACGAGTCCCACTCCGGTCAAACAACCTCCAAGGGAAGAACCTGAAAAAATTAAAAAATGGAGGGAGGACCAGAAAAAAATGCTGGAAGAAAAAGGTTTAATATCTTAGCCCTAATTATATTGCTTTTTTCAAATATAATTATTGAACAGGGTTATTACTTAGTGCGATAAACACTGCCTCCCTTCAGGCATAATTTTATTGTGCTACTGTCGGTCAAAAGAATGGAAACAATTATATTATTAATAGCAGAACTGATTTACACACTGTAGATGACGCATATTGTGAGAATTAATATTTATAACATAAATACAAATTGGTTAAATATGTGATCTCGGTAAACAACTTTTTCAAAAGTAATATTTATTTTCAATTTACACAATTTATTAGTGAGAACTTGGAATAGTTTGTCTTATTGAAACTAGATAATAACAAGTTTTTCTAATCCTGAATTATTTTGTTTAGATGGGCATAATTTACCGTTATTTATTTTAGATCGAAATGAAGAAATTAAAAAAGAAGAATGGCGTGAATCGGCAAAAAAAGAGCTTGAAGATTGGTATAAGCATCAAGAAGATTTGCTTGCAAAGACAAGATCTGCAAACAGGTGAATATGAAATAATTGAATTATTTACATTTGTTGGTGACAAAAATAAATGAATTGTTTCATTGGTTTAAGTTGAACTTCAAACGTTTATAGATTTTACTTTCTTTTATACTAATTGTTTTATTTATTATTAGTTAATTACAATGAGTCTCATATTGATCATCACCATTAATATTCATTTTTCTGTAAAATTTGGTTATTAATATTAAAAACGTTCTCATAAAGTTTTTAATACATTAAGTGATACTGAACTAGTCATTACTGAATGTGACTCCTTATTAAATATTTAAAAAATACTCTAAAGTTGTTTTTAGTATTATAATTGATTTTATTTTTATTATATGTTTATAGTGTATAAAAACTGTTTAAAAACAAATTTTCTCATTTATTATTGCTTACCAGAGAAGCTGCCAAGTAAGTAATTTATTTCTCATTTCTTGCTCAGATAATTTAATTAGAAACTAACAGTATTAAATGTTTAAAAGGGCTCAGATCTTGTAGTATTTAAATTTATTTTAAACTTTTAGATCAATTTAAAAAAAGTGAAACTCGTCTTTAATGGAATGCAAGGAAGAAGTCCATGCCCCATTATTGAGGAATGCCTATTTGCCTTTTTAGTATGGTCTAAAATAAATAAATAAAACCATGTATGTTTACAAGTCTTAGTCTGGTTTTAACTTACAAGGGGAAGCTGGTGTTAATAAAACATTTTTTTGTGATACTAAGCCGAAAAATATTAGACACATGGATCATTTATGCTAATAGGTCCTAGGAGCCAAGAAAATAATTATTGTACATTACGATGTAGCCTCTAGACCAGTAAAACTCAAAAATCGATCTGTGTGGGCTGAAGGAATCATGCAATTGTATAGTTGCAGTGAGTGTGGTCGCCTTTATCTCTGTGTGGTACAAGTCAGTTTCAATCAGTTGTACACCCATTTAGTTTGTACAAAACACAAACTGTTTAGGTAGTCAGATTTTCAGCATGTTAGTTGCAAGTGGGTGGGCTTTCATACAAAGCCTTTGCAGTCACTCCTGGGACCAAACTGTTGTGCAATTAAAAATTTGCATGTGTGTGCCTAGTCTAAAACAACTACACCGATCTACAGGAGAGTAGGGGTTTAGAACACAAGATTTGGCCTTTGTAAATGAATTATAATTGGTAATATAAAATAGAATTGTTTGATGAGCTTTTTCATTATTTTTTTCCTTATAATAATGCTGTTATGTGTCAAGCAATGTCAAATGTTGTTGATATAGCTTGAAAGAAAAAATACCCTGTTTTCCAACTCTTGTAACAATCTAAATATGAATTTTCATCTCAATAAAAAATAATCATTTTTGGGCAGCAATTTTAATATCGCCGATGTCCAATGATCCACTTAAAAATTTATAACTCCTCAAAATTCAATGCTGTTTCAAGAAAAAGTTAGTCACGAGCGGGATTCGAAGATCGTGGGTTCGAATCCCACTCGTGATGCTAACTTTTTCACTTCAACCAAGACCTTACATAAAAAGAATAATTAATTGAAAAAAGTAATTTGGTCAATCAGATCACTAAACATAATGACTTTACTAAGTGATTAAAGAGGATCTGAATTGTTTAAAAAAAAAAAATTTGACCTACTTTACTCAGAGCATCTTTCAGTTTTTGCAACTTGTTATATATCTAACAACTTTTAACACGTTCATTAAGGCACTGATTTGTAGACATTCCCGAAAAACGGAAAAACAATTTTTTATAGTTTTGAAATCTGTTTAGGTTTATAAATGACCCTTAATTAAAATGTTGACACAAGATACATATATTTTTGAAAGAAAAATATTTAGCATTAAGAGAAATGTAGTTCACATCGATGATTAAAAAAAAAGTCTATTATAGGAATAAAAAATTTCCAAAAGATCAAATTGAAAAATGATCTTCACAACAACATGACAATGCGATAACTAATGGCTTGTGAAACCAACTCGATTAAACCTCAACACTACACAAGCTTTGAAATCCAGAAGAGGTGCATCGTTCTGGAACAATGCCCTTAATGGACGTGTTAATACGATTCATCATATTATTTTCTTATTGTTCGTGAGAGTACAAATTAACTGATATATAATAACCTTGAGATGCATGCAACCAAGGCAGAAAACCATATTTTAAAATAATGTAATATTTACCAAGGTAAATGTAATATTTTTCGCCTAGTATAACCACAAACCTTTTAATTTAAATAAATATTTATATAAGTGTACAATTCATGCTCTTGATACATTTAATTCGTTCACCACGACAATCCTTTTTGTTTTCCTATATTTTTGTAAAACACAAGCAAATGAAATGTGATTCAGAGCAAAGTTGTACATTTTACACTAAATAAATGGAGGCTTTATATTATAGTGGAATATAAAATGTGTAGAAATCCAATCTTTTGCGGGGGCTGTGCAAATATATTCGTTAACACTTGCACCACCATTGGTAAAATAAAAACTTACACTTCTTTTTAGACCCAACAGTTTTTTTTTATTTTTTATTTTATTGTACTTAGCATAGACAAAAAAGAAAATTTTTATTTATAAGTTGCCTATGAACACAACTTATAAATAAAATTTTTCATTTTTTTTTTGTGTATGCTAAGTATGATAAAATTTTATTAATTATTTTATTTTACATTATTACCTAACTATTAAACTGAATAAAAACTGAAAAGTAAGAGCTTTGGGGTAAACAGAAAAACCAGGACAATGGACGAAGGGTAAGGGATTAAGGTGCTAGTAGTAGGGCTAAGCTTTTTTCCTACTTCAGTGGGTAAAGTGATAACAATTTTACTTGAAAAAAAATTGTAACATGGATCGTAATGTGGGTTCCAGGTATCTTTTTATTTACAAAATAAGCAATAACAATTATATTTTTGTTCAAAAATTTCAAAGAAAATTATGTTCAGGAAAGACCTAATAGAGGAATAAATTTAAGGGTAGATTTAAAAAAATTAAAACTAGGCAGCACCAAAAAAAAAAGATCTCTGGGTCTTGAAAGGCCCACAACAGTGGTGTGTGTTAAGAAGTACTTCACTGTATTTTAGAAATATTTCTTCTATGAATTTATGATTTATCATAATTACAGTTATAAGGGCGATTAATATTACAAATCAATTGTGTTGTAATTTTTTTTTTAGCAATAGTTAATTTGAACAGAAACAATTTTATTTAAATCACTATTTGATTAATTTGAATCACAACTTAATTTGCTATGACAGTTCTAATATTAATTGACTTATTCAGCTTTTTTTTAATGACATTGAATCTATATATTTGCATTTATTTGTAACAGGAATGCCGAGAAGCAATTTGTAGCAGATGCCGGTGCTATAGAACCAGGAACAGAATGGGAAAGAATCGCTAAATTATGTGATTTCAATCCGAAATCCAGTCGTACAAGTAAAGACGTTTCACGTATGCGTTCTATTATATTACAGCTCAAGCAGACATCGATTACAAAACAGGCCTAAAAGAAAATGTGATTTATTACTGTCCTCTGAAACATTAAACAGAGAAATTTGATAAGATTATTTACAAAAAATTAAATAAAAATTACATTAATAAAAAGAAAAAGGGGCCATTGTTGAAAATAAATAACTTTTTTTCTGCCGCTCCAAATAAATCTTTTACAGTAAATAAATGAATTTAAAAGTAAACGTTTTATAAATATAAATAAAGTATCCTTACGACAAATTAGCGAAGAAATAGAATTTAGGTTTGCTGAAACTGCAAAAGTATTGTCCTACTATAATAGTAGTTAAAAAAAAGAAGGAAAAAAAGAGATGCAAGTGTTTAGAAGCGAAAAGTGTAACTGTTGATATCCTAACTACTCAAGCTGAATATAGCATCTTCATTTATTTTACATTTTAATGTAAATAAGTATTATCAAATAAATAATTATCACTGAAAGCATAATTTATCGGTTCGTAAACAAATATTATTAAAAAAGGAAAGAAAAATTATTTGTTATTACATATTATATATATATAATATATACATATATATTCCACGTTAAAAAATGTTAGCTATTATTAATGATCAATCCATATTTCTGTGTTATTTATAATTTGTTTTGAAGGCTTATCGTATGTATATATTATTATTTTTATTTAACAGTTTTAACAGGATCAAATTAATATGTATAAGTTTTGTATTGAATATTGTACTTTATTAGAAATTGCTATTTATTTTTACATTGTAACAGAATTTATTCAGTCTGAATTAGTTAACTCATAAATTCCAAATTAAATTACATTTTACTTAACAGATTAAATAACAATTATATTAAACTCAATATGAACACGTTTTCAATGTAGATAAATTTATAGTTTTATTTTATTATTTAATGAAAAGAACAGAATATATATCTTTTTTTTTCTAAGTTGGTTACCTATTTCTAATGTTGGTACTATATTATCATTTAATCATAATTGTACCTTTACATGATTTATTTTTATTATTTGGAATGTAATCTCACAAATAAATATTCATTATTTATGTGTGTTGCCGCTTTGCTGTATTCCTTCATAAAAGGGACTGCAATTTAGGCTTATTTTGTACATTTTCTTGTACCTCTACTCAGTTCTAACATTACTGTATGTTGAGAGTGAATGTATTTATTAGTTTAATTAAGGTTTTTTAGTTAAGATAAAAAAGTCAATGGCACGAGCGAGATTCAAACCCACGATCTTCGGCTTGATACGCCGCTGGTCACGATAGCTCAAGTGGTAGAGCAGCGGCGTATCTAGCTGAAGATCGTGGGTTCGAATCCCGCTCGTGCTATTGACTTTTTTTTATCTCAACTAAAACACCTTAATTGATTGAATATATTAATTGGTCAAGCAGACCACAAAATTAGTGAATTTAAGAATTTATTAGTGTGAATGCATAGCGTGAGAGGGCCAATGGTGGAATATTCTATAGAATATATCCTATAGACATTACAGAGGTGGTTTCTTTTGCTTGCAAGCTTGCATATCTGTCCAGCATGTAAAGAAAGATTGCTCGATGTGTCCCACTTAATTGAAAGGGGCAATTCCTTGGCTCCATATTGAGAGAATGTAAGCCAACCGATATGAGGATTGTCTTGAGCAGGGCAGTGAGTGTGGATCCCCTTTTCTGATTTTTGCAACAGGACTGATTGTATTTTGATGTAAATATTTAGAATGAATGCATTTATTATTGTGAATGTATCATGTAAAATGGTGGACTATTGAGAATTCTATAGACCTTGCAGATGTGTTATAACCTCTTCTCCAAAGAATTTAAGTTAATAAGTTAAGTGTGAAGTTAAGTTCAGTCGTCAAAATCCAGATTGCAGTGTGCATTTGGATATTGTTTTTTTGAGTGAAAGAAATAAGTTAACCCGGCTAACATTGAGTGTGTACTCACACTAGCTAGTAGCTTGTATATGTGTCTGGCATGTAGAGAAAGATCACTTGACATATTCCACTTAATTGAAGAGTATCATTCTTTCGCTCCATAATGAGAGGATGTAAGCCAACCGACATGAGAATTGTGCTTGAGCTGCATACAGAATGTTTTGTTTCCTTTCTTTGTCTAATGAGAGTGAATGCATTTTTTAAAGTTAATGTGTAAGGAGGTTGGAAGTACTCTTACATTCCTTCAATTTCATTAGTTGCTGAAACACGTCTGACAGACCGACACAGTGAGGATAGTTGCCCAGAATGACCAAATTTCAGCCAATCCCGTCTATTTCCAAATTGTCACCTCAGGAAAATAAATATGAGACAAAATTGCCGATTTAGTCAACAAAAGGACAATTTTTTAAAATAACAATGTAAAAAAAAACTAAAGTGTAACAAAAGAAGGTATTTAAATGTGTAACGAAATCAAGGTGGGTCGGTCATAGAGGACAGAAAGATTTCGCCGATCACCACTAAATTAGAAAAATCGTTCAGATTTAAAATTTCCATTCTAAATTGTTAAAAAAAATCCTCAAGCACCTCCGTGTATCTATTTGGATGAGGGTTTTGACATTCTTGTTCTTTGTGTGATATTTTCTGTTTAGAATGTCTGGCTCTATATGATTCTAATCCAATTCTATTAAAAAAAGGTGCAAATTCCTTATCGCAGGGGCTGGGTATTCTGATTCTGTAGATGACCCTCATCTACCAACTTTATCAGCCAATTAATTTTGACCTGGCACAGGAATTCTTTGTTCATTTTCCACGTTATTATGTACTATTTGTTTATAATTCAATTCAAAACTGGAGTCTAGAAAGAACTGAAAACTGTTGAAAAGTAAAGAGCTAGGATTATTAGACACAAAAGGTTTATTAACTTTGTAATTTACATTTATGACTGTATGCTTATAAAAACTAGATTTAAAAATAGTGCAAGCTTTATATATATATATTTTTTTTTTTTAATATATAACATTATTTAGTTATATAAACAATATACAATACAAATTACTCAATGGAAAGCATAAAACAATAAAATCAAAACACAAAAAAACACAATAAAACCAATAATAATGGAATCACGCTTTTTGCGTATAACTATACGCTGTACGAGGCTGTTGACAATTGGAAACCTTTGGCCGATATCATGAAGTCTTGTTTGCAATTTTTTCATCGAATTTCTTTGAGATAGTAAATTTTCCCTCGTTTCAACTGCTATACTGATCTGATCGTCGATTAATCTATCCGAACTCCTTAAGTGTTCGTGTTCCTTTAAATACATGTCAGTTCTCCTGTGATAATTGCTTGAGCCGCCTTTATGTAAGCTGGAAAATGTAATAATGATAAAATTACGGTACATATTGATATCCAGTCAATTAATCTTGACGTTTGATTAATTGACTGGAATTTTCTTTCTTGCCACCATGCTGACAATGGAGCTGTTTATTATGTCAGAAAGTTCATTAATTAAATTGCATACTGACTGTACGTACTCTATATCCATTTTAACACTTTCCAAAAGGTGCTCTCGGTCTTTTCGAAGTCTGTAATTTTCTAAATTCTTCCTATACTCGTTGAAATAATCGCGATGAATTTCTCTGTGTTGGTTGATACTGAACATTGCAACTGTTTGATGTTTTTGTGACATTTCTGATAATGGCAACATTTCAACAATATCACTTAACTGAAATAAAGAAAATTTATGATAATGCAACATGAGACAGACAAATAACTTTAACATGGATACATTTTGGGCTAAATACACTTTTTTTGCATAACCATTTTTCCACCATAAATTTTGTGTTAACAGGGAGAATATGGATGGATAGGTTAGGTCAAATTAGAGTAAGATTAAGACTAGGAAGGTTAGGTTAAGTAGGGTGAGATTAGGTTAGGTTTAAGATTAGAGGTGGTTCGGTTTAGAGTTAGATTAGGTCAGTTAGTTTTAATATGAGAGGTAGTTAAGGTTAGGTTTAGAGTTATATTAGGTTAAGTAAGGTAAAGTTAGATTACTTTCGGTAGATTTAGATTAGGTTAAGGCTCAAATATGCAAGCGCCAAGTGCAAGCTTTGGTTTAAGCAACTTTGGGTAAACGCATTGAAATCTGTTCACATTCAGTGTGGCCTGGGTTTTCAATTTCCCCCCTCCCAGACGGGCAAAAATTGCCTTATCCTAGAAATGTTATGCATCATTAACTCCATACAAGTCACCAGCACGTTTAGGTTAGGTAGGGTTAGGATTATAATTATTTATGCAAAGAAATACAAATTTTATTTTTATATTTTATTTTGGTTACATTTGATTTTTATTACTATAAAAATCTCAACCTTCTTTACATAAAAATTAATGTACACTTAAAATTTATGTAAGATTTATGATAATCAATTAAGATAATTAATAAGAAAAATTTAAGGTTACATTTAAGTAGGGTGTTTTAGATTTTGAGTTAGATTCGGTTAAGTAGGGTGAAGCAGAGAAAACGTGAGTGCAAAGCTCAAGATTTTTGCCAAATTTGTGTAAACGCAGCTATTACATAAATAAAAGGACTTTAAACCTTAGGACTACTTTCTATAAGTTTATGCAGCTTCATAAGCTTAAAATTACCTAAAAATTTAATGGCATTGATATTCTACAAGGAATTAAAAGTGAATTTTAAAATGATGTGACATAAAAATGTTTTAACAAACAAATAATATTTTCTCTCAACCATGAGATGCTTTACATATTTAATCAATTTTATCTTTGTAGACTTGTGTTAGTTCAACTTCTCAGTTAATAATGTGTTGTTTGTTTTTTTATTTATACAATACCATTTTTTACAAGCAGAATAATAAATGCATCTTGAGCCACACCATGACCCCTCCTCAATATATTTAAACAAATTATTTGTACACTAACTACACAGTAAATAAAAAGGATGAGAAATGTATTTATAATTTTAAAAAATTGGAAAAAAAGGCTGATTACTTACAAAAAAAATTCAATTTTATATTAGGAAAAAAAATTTTATATTAGGAAAAGTATGTTCAAAAACTGTTTTTCACATAAGGAGAAGAACAAAGAAAACTTTATGCAATGATGCTACTTCTGTAAATTCTTCACCTAGTTCTACACTTACCTTTTCCAGAAGAGCTTTCAATTCTTCTGATGTCGATTCTATAACATTATCAGTACTTAACAAAGGTTGTTTGATCCTACAAAAAAACAAATTACCAAAGTTTAAAATTTGTAACTTAACATCTGTTTGGTTTACATACTTGTTACAAAGTAAGTACAGTTTAGAAGTAAGTAGTTTTTGTTAAAAAAAAAAAAAAAAATTAATTCTTAACAATTAATTAAGGTTTTTAGTTGAGATAAAAAAGTCAATGCCTCGAGTGGGATTCAAACCCACGATCTTCGGCTTGATACGCCGATGCTCTATCACTTGAGCTATCGTGACCTCGATCCACTCGGACACCAACTTCCCATCTCAACTATCCCGCTCGTGCCATTGACTTTTTTATCTCAACTAAAAACCTTAATTAATTGTAATATATTAATTGGTAAAGTGGACCACGAAATTAGTGAAATTAATTCTTAAGTTAAGTTAGGCAGGGTTAGTTTTAAGTTTAGAGTTAGTCAGTAGCCTATTGACCAAATTCATCGTTCTATTTATAGGAGAGTGGTTTGTACAGTAGAAATTCTGCTAGAATAACTTTTTGCTGCACGTGTCGACAGATGGGATATGGAAAAGATATGTGAGCAGATCTGAAGAATTAATATTGTTTTTGAGAAGACTGTCGCCTTATTTGTTGTTCTTTAAATTTGTAACAATGATGAATTGCATACCCTGAAAAAGTTTGCTGTTTCCCTGAGCATGCATTGCTGAAGAATATCAGCTTAGCTGATATATCTTCCTCAAGGCGTTCTGCTTGCCTACGTAAATCTGAAAGAAAGAAAAAATGTAAACATTACACATAGTTATTGGTGGTTGTTTTGTTTGGGAAGTCAGTCAGAAATTTCAGTTTTTACTCAATACATATATTTATTGGACAATGTTTCAGAAATTTCACTCCTTTTTCAAGGTTTTCAAACTTGAACCCACAAAACAAATTTGTACAATTGTACTATACGGAGGAAGTGACACGGCACTATTATCAGGGTTGTACAAAATTAATGCAGGTTTTAGTTTACATGTATCACAATATCACTATTTAATTTTAAAAGAGTGAGGACCTATTTAATTAAATATTAAATATGTCACTAGATTTTCATTAAATTTATTTACATAACATCAATACACTTCGGAAGGAGGGAAGCATTAACAAATTGCAGCGATGGTTTCTGATATTTCATAGTGATTTTGACTACGTACTCACACATAAGTTCGTTTTGCCTAATGTACTGGACTTTAAAAAACAACTGAAATGTACTAACAGATGTGACACACAAATACTTTGGACCTTCTCCATACTCACACAAGCTTGTGTATGTGTCCAGCATGTAGAGGATTAAGGTTGCTCAATATGTCCTTTATACTGAAGGGCTCCATATAGAGAGCATGTAAGCCAACCGATATGAAAATTGAGCCTGAGCACAGAAACAAGAATTGTACTTTGGCATTTGCGTATTTGTGGGACTTGTACCGATTTGTGGAGGAATCAGGGCTGTTTCATGTATATAAATACTTGGTAGATATCTTGCTTTGGGTTCCCTTTTGTGTATACTGAGAGTGAATGTATTTATTAGCATTAATGTACAGTTTGAGAGGGCCAATGGATATTACAGTATGTGTGAAGGGAGATGGAGGATTACTGAGTGGGTGACCAACCTGCAGCTTGGTTATTTCCAATCATTTTGGTCCTACAGTACATACATCTTATAGACCAAAATGATCAGAAATGGCTGAACAGATGTACATTTAAGTAAGGCAATCTGTTAAAATCAAAGATCTCAAAGCTTAACCAATTAGAAAAGTGTAAATAAAAATATAATCAGAGAATTTTTAATGGCATCGAAAACATCAGCCATTTGGAATGAAATCATTGTAATGCAAATACAACAAAATACACTTAAAGGAGAAAAGAAACAACAGACACTCGTGTTTTGTTTATGTTTTTACTGTTATATTAATTACTACATACTTATTTTAAGGTAAACCAAATTAAAGTAGATCAGAAATTCATGAATTTTAATAAAAAATGATTATGATGGTTTGAAACAAAATTCACCAAAATACTGGAAAATCGTTTAGTGATAAATTAAAATTTAACTAACAATTTATTAACTGGTTTTGCTCTCAATAACGCATATGACACATCATTGTGGAGGGCCTTAAGGCATTGAGAGAATTGAAAAAAGAAGTGAACAGATTTCATCTTAGTTGTTTAAATTGTTCAACACTTATTGGAGGTGGCTAACCCATCTCTTTATCATGTTCCATAAGTATTCTTATAGGATCTATGCCAGGAGAACGTGCTGGCTAATTGATTTTGTTAATCTCTACGTCCTTCAAGTAATAGGTGACAACTCGACCTACATGCAGTCGAGCATTATCATGGTTAACACAAAGTTGTCCCCAATAAATGGAGCGAATGGTTCCAGAAGAACTTCCCTGTACGTAAAATGTAAGATCCATTCTGTAAGATAATTAGTTCGGTACGGGCATGGATGATTCCACCTCATTGGATCCACATCATAACTGTCTTTGAAAATGCTTAACCAAATGGCATTTCCATGTTTTCTCCACAGACCATCCGGACTGTCGATTGTCATAAACGGACTCATCAGTTAAGAGAACATCCCCATTGTCCAAGCAAGATGCTGATTTGTAAGTAGTCACCTTTCAACTCGTTATCTCTCCAGCAGTAGAAAACCTGATGCCGGATTTCTAGAGGCTGGGCTAATCTCACCAAGTCTTCTGACGTCTGTTTTAGAGGACCATTTGGAATTGACTACCAATCAAGGAAGCCGTTAAATGACGGTAAGAGCAATAAAAGCTTGTCTCTACCCAATCTACATCGCTTTGTCGACCACTACCTTCTTATCGATAGAGACTTCGGGCAGCCCTAAACTGTTGTAGACATTTGTGTATGGTAGAGCGCAGTTACCCAGTACTTTGGCTTTGAACGGTCGCTATGTCCGTCATTAGCCAAAGCATGTGCCTGGGCAACATCTTCTCGACATAAAACCATGCTTTAAAAAAACAAAAAATTACCCAAATCTATTGTTCCTTCAAAGAAAACAATTTAAAAACCAATTAACTCACTCACATGACAAGTTTGCTCTGAAAAGGTTTATTTGTCTTTGAATGTAAATTATCCAATTAACCAAGTTTCATTAAAACTATGAAAACTAGAAAATTAATTAAATTTTACAATTTCTCACAGTGTGTAATTAACAAAATAATGTTAATGTTTTTGCCCCCTTACACAAATAACATCATTTCATAAGCCTAAATGACATTTAATTGTCAGACTAAATTTGGAAATAAAAAATTAAATTTTGAGAACGAAAAAACCTTTTTCTTTCTCTAACATCCTGTTTTTTATTTTGTACATCACACTGCTTAAAAAAAGTTTTTTTTTAAGTTGTCAATTTTACAGATAAAGTGAAGTTACAGAATACAAAAACATTATTGTCAACGTTTTATTCCAAACGGAAAATGCTACTTGCCGTCGAACGATGCCATTTTGCGTCAATTCGTCTGTGTTGGATGCTGGACAATTTATAAACACGTTTAAAATCTTTTAAATGCCACAAAACCCCATCCCGCGCCAGTGCGTCTTCATATCAGCCTGGGGCCTGTCAGCAGACGAGAAGGTACCAAAAACAAAAGCCACGCATAGCTCTTTGTGTCGTCTCATAGGCGAAGTGCTGGATGACGTCAAAGAAGTACTATTTTTTTAAGTTGAAGTAATTTACTGAGTTCGTTACTGTTTAATAAAAATTTCGGAAGAGCTTAGTATTGACCACTCAACCGTTGTTCACCATCTGTAGCAAATTGGTAAAGGAGCTCGACAAATGGGTACCGCACGAACTAACCGAAGCCCAAAGAAATTGGCGCTTTGAAATTTGCACGTCTCTTCTGTTGTGCTACCAAAATGATCCATTTCTGGATCATTGATGAAATTGTTGATAATAGTTTGTCCAAAGGCATTTCACGAGCCATCATCCAACTAAAATTTTTAAATTAAATTGTGAATTTGTTTGTTATGCAGGGTGATGGTCCTGTAATGTGGTCGTTAACGATAGTTTCGGTCTCCCTGTCCTCGGTGGGTTGGTCTGTCAGCCGCGTTTCAGCATGTTCAGACCGACCCAATGCTTAAGAAGGCGCAATCCGAAGAGCGTATTTGTCGGTCTACCAAGGCCCTAAAAAATTCTGCATTGATTACATTTAATTAATTATAAATATATAATAAGCAATCCGAACAAATCTCATATTACGATACGCTGCTAAGATTTTATACGGAATACTCTGGAGAACAATTTCGAAGTACGTTCCATTTACATTAACCTATCCAAAGCCTTTGAACGGGTTGATAGATTTGTCCTATTGGATAAACTTAAAGCCTCTGGAGTCAGCCTCTACTGGGTTGGGTCTCGTCTTTCCTGGAGGGCCACTTCTGCATATCGTATAAGGATACACTATCTGATCTAGTTTCGGTCGATTCAGGGGTACCTCATGGTTCCCATTCAGGACCCATACTATATTTATTATTCTTTCATGATGTCTGTGATGTCTCTCGCTGTCAGGACTCTATGCTGACTGACAGGATATATAATATTATTTCTAACACAGCTGATTATTGTACAACACAAAATCGTGCCTCGGTCTTTTCTGATTGGTGCTCTCATAATCGTCGTAAGTGCAACTCAGACAAATCAGTTATAAATCGCTTCCTGCAAAAAAGTTGGCCAAATTACATATACCTACTACAATGATAATAGTACTATCTGTTAAGTGTCACAGATCGCGACTTAGGAAGGATTTTCAACGCACACGTACATTTGAAAACCATTTTACTTTAATAGAGCACTCAGAAACCTAGTCTTTCTGAAAAGAACGATCTTTGATTTTTCAAATGCCTTTGCTATAAAAATTTTATACCTATCCCTCGTTCGTAGCATATTGGAATATGCTTCCATATTCTCGGCTCCTTACTCTGACAAGAATTGGACTTTCATTGAGAGGGTCCAATACACTTAAATACTTAGCGTATAATGTATTCTTGTTTTGACATAGAATATGAGGATTTCTTCAGGTGGTATCTCTCACTCATAGGCGAGGTCTCTGACATTACCAGCTTTTGGATAAAGAGTGCTAATGATCTCATTGATGCTCCTGAGTTTCCCGTAATGCTGCGGTTTCATAGAGCCTGTTAACGGATGAATCTTTCGTCTCTCTCGTCCATAGACCTAGGTCGATGCTGTCCTGGCCTTCAAGTGCGAAAACCCATTTCTCTGAAGCGCGGAAGTACCCTTACTATTGTAGAGTGATTTACACTGTCTCCTGGTGACTTCGCCCTGGCTGTATCCTTCCTCTAACAATGTTATGACCCTGACTGTGATACTCACTCAAATGCCTGACTGGAGCCATTGAAAAAGGTTTAAGAATAAGAATAATATCAAATGAAATCAACGAAGGAAAAATATTAACCGAAAGCGATCTTTTGGCAGAATGGAAGAGCATAATGCTACTTTTTGGGCAAATTAATCAGTACAAAAGTAAACAAAGGAAGTACTCAAAGCATTATTTACTGTTTATTTTTACTACGATAGCTCCTAATTACTTGTAACTAATGTAGAAAGACAATGAATTTAATTTTAAATTAAAAGTTAAGTGGTGCATTAAATTTGGCCATCAGTGTGTAATAAAATGTAAATATTTACAGTTATAATTGTTTTAGGAACTCCTGGATTTAAAACAGCTGATGTTGAGTCCCTATTCTAACATTTTATAATTGTTGAGATGTTTACTTCTTCTGCGTTTAATTTTTCAAAACAATATCCTTTTCGTTTCATAATATAAATTGAATCGAAACAATCAATATTGAAAGAATTCCAATTATTTTATTAACACAAATCATTGAATTGAAATATATTCACGAAATTCGTGGACATTTTGGATATATTGGGATGTGTATCTTGCTCATTTCCGATCATTACGGTCTTCTTGTCCTTGCTCATTTAGCCTGTCGTCGTACCTTGGTCCTATATAGAAAGCGAGTAGTCTACGCGATATAAGACAATTTAGCGGGATTTGGCATTTTATAGGAAATCGGGATCTTCCATTGATGTTTTTGTAGTAAATTTTCGTGAGTGAATGTATTTATTAGCGAGAATTGGTGATCTGAGGAGCAATATGGACGGAATATCACTCGGACTAACCCTGAGTTTCAATTTGTATTTTTTTTTTTTTTCACTATTAGCATGTAACTTGGTCATTTTGGTGGACCTGTCTTCGTTGATTTTGTCTGCCGTAACGTGGCTCTAAACAGAAAACGTGTAAGCCCATACTGACCTTGAAATTTCAATGTATCGATTTTTTTATTACTGGAATTTTAAATGCAGCTTGGCCGTTTCTTATCATTTTGGTCTGTCTTCGTATCCTGGCACTGTATAGAAAGCGTGTAGATCGTTAAACCACTGATGATGGCGGAATGCCGAAATGCATCTGATAAAATGAAATGTTCTGAAACCTGCTATCACATCTTGTAAAACATTTTATTTCAAACTTTAAAAAATTGGTTTTCTTCGCGAGCTTTAACGTTTGAAAATAGTTGTTGGACACGAAATAGCCAACGACGCTTTTTTCGCTTAACCTTTCAGAAATAATGGGGATGACCACTCAATAAAATGCGTGTTGTCCAGTTTGAGCGCAGCAGCAGCATTTAATTATTAAAGCATTATTTACTGTTTATTTTGACTACGATAGGTCCTATAACTAATGTAGAAAGATAATGGATTTCATTTTAAACTAAATAATTGAATTGATCGTTAAATTTGTCCATTAGTATATATTACTTACTGATGTTGGTTAAACCAATAACTGAGTTGGCAATAACTATTAAGAATAGTATAGTGACCAGATAGATGGAGGAATATCAAGTACTCCACCGACCAAACGGAATGAGTGTACTGTATGGATGTATTTATGTGTATGAATGTATTTATTTGTATGAATGTAGTGTTTGAAAGGGTAAATAGAATATAGATATAGTTGGGGGCTAAAATGACCTAGATGTTGGAAGCCCCAGTCAAAAAAAAAAACAAAAAAAAAAAGTATTAATTATTGAAAACTGAATTGTTTGTTAACAATTATTTAGAATCGTGAGATGCGGTTTGGTGTGATGTAGGTTTAGAAAAACATTTTCTTTATCATGCCAACGTTTTGTTCTTTATTGAGATCATCTTCAGGGCCTGGGATTTATAAACATTGTTTAAATTATACAAATATATAAGATGTGACTATGAATTTATGCAATGATGTGCACAATATAGAAATTTTAGGATTAATCAATGTATTTATACTCTCTCAAAGTGTTTGTTTTCTGTGTAGATGTGTCACTGTTGAATGTCGTGTTGAGAATATTAGTGAGATACTAATGTTTTCTGTTTATATATGTTTTATTGTGAAGGAGTGGGGAAGGAAGTAGAAATAGAAATTAATTTTTCTATGAGGAGTCGGCTTCTTTGAGGTAAAATGAACCGACAATGGAAAAAATGGGTACTGGTTTGTCGTTCGGACCTAGTTAGCCTTTCAGGATTATCATAGAAGGGATTATTAGGGAAAGGAGAAATAAATTGTTTTTTTTTTGGACAGGGTCGTCCGACAGCTTGGTCATTCCAGTCTCGAAGCACTAGCAAAATACTGCTACACACTCGATAACAATCATACCTTGAGCTGCTTGATCGCACTCATCTGTTTGGTAGATGGAGTACTCGATATTCCTCCATCTACATTTTCACTACATTAAACTAATCTAATTTGGGGTGATGGGGTACTTTAAAAGTTTTCCGCCGTAGGCTCAAGTCACGCACGCAACATGAGGGGCGATGGAGATGTTATTTCACCATCAGCCCGTCCCCATTCACACCAACATACATTGACCACGCTCATACTGCGTGGTAGATGGAGTACTCGATATTCCTCTATCTACCTGTTCACTACAATAAACTAATCTAAATTGGGATCGATGGGGTATTTTATAAAATTTCCGCCATCGGCCCAAGTCATACACACAACCTGAGAGGCGATGGAGAGGCAACTTCGCCATCAGCCCATTCCCATTCACACCAATAAATACGTTCACTCATACAAGAAACAGAGACACAAAACACTCAACTTCTATATACAATAAAAAATTCCCAATTCCCTTAAAAAGCGGAATAGGGGACCCTAAAACTCGCTGCTGTGTCCGAGAACCCTCTTTAAATCTGGCGGCATGTCTACTCGCGCCCTGTAGGGAGCCAAGGCACGACACGCTTCGACTATGTGGGACACATGGAGCAACCTTTCTCTGCATAACGGACACCTGCGGGGGGATTGGCCCAACAGCAAGTGCCCATGTGTCAATCGAGTATGACCTATTCTTAATCTGGTAAGAACTATTCCGTCTTTACGGCTCAAATCCTCGGGAGGCCATCTGCAGGTCGTGCACCGGTGGAGGTCGGCGGTAGAATGCAATCGGCGATACACGTAGTGGCTGCGAGACCCGAGGAAACCGGATTTGCCTTCTCAACGTCGAAAACGGTGTGCGTCCACTTCTGCAGACTGAGGAGGGAGCATAGTCCCCCTCAACTCTGTCTGGGAGGCGTACC